CCCCCGCTCCGCCACGCCACTCCCCGCCCCAGCACATCGCCGCCGCCATAGAACATTTCAATATATTCGCTTCTGTTCGACATTAGCTACGAGTAACAAAAGGTATCAACAAATATACAGTAGTTACAGGCCGCCGGCGCGCGGCGGGGCAGTGGCCCGGAGCGGACTCGAGCGCGCTCTGCCATTGGCCGGCAGCCGCCGCTGGCTGGAAGGGGCATCGCCGCAACAGCGGACTCGGGGACAACGCGGCACTGCACCTCGCGCGTTTGCAAGCGCATTTTTGATCAGACGCTACCTCTCCAGCACACAGCCCACGCGTTTACCCCCGGCAGACCTCCGAGGTGGCGTTTTGCATTACATGTGAAGCAATTGTGTGGTACTTTTTCCACTATCATTCCACTATTCATTCGCTTTCAAAATCAAGATCCCAATTTCCACTCGCTGTTTGTGCACGAGGCAGCGTTAAGTCTTTCAATAATTTTTTTGTCGATACACAAGGTCAAATTTTGTATTATGGGAATGTGACAGTGCAATACATTGTGCCCTCGTCGTGGCTGAATTGGCTTTCGTCTCTCCGTGGTCTTGAGGAAAGTACTCAGTCATTCTCTTTTTTCTACCACAGAGAGATAGTCCGCTTCCAAACAGAGGCATTTATTTATTTACAATCCATGCAGTATTTTTGAGATAATAGTTACACATTTAAATACAAACACGTTATTATGTGAAAAAATCAATGGTTGTGGTAGCCCTCCACTGAGAACAACCGTCACGCATCGAAGCGCAAACAGTCTTTTCTTTTCTCGAAGTTTCACCCTGCTGACCTGCCTTCGCTACAATGGAAACGAAGTCGATACATTTCTTGAATAAGATATACAACGTGTAACCGTCGATGGGTTTCATCTGAGAAACAAATCATCGGAGGGCCACACCGAAATGACACATAAATCAGTCTCTGAGAAGCATCGTGCATTCGTAGACAATAGGAACCTTCAAAATGCTACAAAGTTTCATCACATCACACTTCCTAGAAAAATTGGAGTCCAAGGGTTACTAAGGTATACGTTGGGCTAAATCCTGAACACAGAAGCAATGAAGTATCAGAAATATACACGTGCGAACTTTTAACAACTCGATAGTTAATTCAGCAATTTGCTTTCTAGAGATGTATCAATCGAATAAAACAATTGCTGACTGACAGCAATTGATGGGGCAACGTTTTTCACAAAATTACGAACACGATATGAATAATTAGGAAATAATTTCTAGAAAGTGACTTGTAGAAGGTTCCCAACGCGGGTGCACCGATGCTGATAATAGCAATATATTGCGAAGTTGGAGTAAAGCGCCAGTTTCTGCAATCGGTCCCTTTGTTTTTGACGCTTAGGCATTGCCGTGGATATGATTCAGGCCCACTTCCGGGAGGTATTTAGACATCACTACTTTCCGAAAAATAGATGTAACCATTCTCATTTAGTTACCCTTAGTAAACATACAGCATTTGCAAATGAGACAAATTCTTAAATAAAACTCCTCCATTTGTCAGTGACATTTTGTATGCAATTTCCGATTATGAAGTCCTGTGATACAAGAAACCAGACTGCTTGTATCAAATATAGTATCTATTACCCAAGTTAATAAACCAACACGATCTGAAGAAAGAATTACAAGAAGATCTTCCCAAGGGGTATCTGATTTGATCTCAGAAAGAACCCAAATTGAAGAGCAGTTTACTAGTCCGTCGACAGTTATTCCTCCAAAAAGATACGTCGCCCTTCTCGTCACTGCATGATGAAAACCCAGACTGTCGAAAAGTCTCGACAAAGCTTTTCGGAGAGCAGCAATCCCCTGCAACCCCAATTCGTTCCGTGAGCAAAAGTGTCCCTGGATTGCAATCTCCACTTCCTTTCGGAACAGCGCAGTGTATGGCCCATCCACTCTCAAGCGCGGATCGCAAGCGCGTCTCGTGCCGGTTGTAGGGCCGGCGGCGGCGCGCTGGGCCAGGCTCGCGAGTGGGCGGGGCCGGGGCGGCCGGGCGCTCAGGGGTGCATGGAGGAGGCGGCGGCGGCCGCGGCGGCCCGGCCGCCAGACCGCTGGCCCGTACAGGCGCGTACGGGGAGAAGTAGGGCGGGAGGCCCGGGTGCGCGTGCTAAGCGGGAAAGCCCAGCGACGGGCGGCAGCAGCGCGGGCGCTTTGACTGTACGGGTTGATAGCGCCGCCGTGGCCAGCTGGCCTGAGCGGCGCGTGGGTCAGGTGCGGTGCTAAGCAGCGGCTGCGGACGGTCGGGGGCGGGCGCGACGCTGCCGCCGCTGCCTGCCGCGGCGCCGCCCCAGCAGCGAGTCGGCTTGGTGTGCGTCCGCAGGTTGAGCAGCAGTCTCTCGGAGCGAAGGCTGTAAGCGACTTTTGAGCCCGGCAGTAGCGGCGTGCGGCGATCCAGTTGCACCACGTAGGCAGGTGGCGAGGCGGCGGCCAACGCCGCCAGCTGCGCGTGGGCGTACGCGGACCCTTCCGCGGCCGGCGGCTGTAGCCCCGGCGGACGGCTCGCAAGGACGCTCGACGCAGCCGCTGGCGGCCGCCGCGGCCGCCGCCGCCTTGCCCGCGTGCTCGCACTGCGCGCACCCGGCGCCGGGCACGGCCCGCCCGAGCCTGCCGCCCCGCCTTGCGGCGCGGCGCGCGGCCGCCGCCGCCTGCCGCAGCCCGCCGCCCCCGAGCTGCCAAAGTGCGAGTTGAGCTGGCCAGCCCCGAGCAGTAGGGGTCGCGGGCACACAGGCACCAAACGTGTCCGATCCCCAACCTCGCCGCCGACTTCATGCGCGCGTAGCTCATGTACCGAGCAGAGACAGCCCGCCGCCGGGCTTGAGGTGCCTGCGGCGCCAAGCAGCCCCAAGGTCGGGCGGGAAAGTCGACTGTCCGGGGTGTCCGAGTTAGCGCCGGGCTTGTAGGTGCCTTCAGCGGCACGTCCTTAGAGCGCGCGTCGCGCCAGGAGGGACGCTGCCGAGAACCAGGGCATGCATGGGACGCCAAACGCTCTGGGCGGCGGCTTGGCGCGCTCCTTGGCGGCGGGGGGTCGGCGGTCCGCCGCGGGCAGCGGCGTGCTGCCCTACGGACGCTCCGGTCGACTTGCGGCCCGGCCTGGCGGACGGCGGCGGGGAGGCGCGTCGGGGGACGTCGCCCGATTCGACCAGCCGAACGACGCAGGCGCCGCCCGGGCGTCCGGCGGCGCCCTTGGCCGGAGTCCACGCCGAGCAGCAGACCCCGGCCGAGCCGCCAAGCTGCCGCGCTCCTCGGGGGTCGCCGCCCTTGTCGCGCCACGGCGTCGCCTCGTACGGCTTTGAAGGCGGCGCTCGACGCCGGCGTGGGAGGGCCGACGGCGCCCTTGTCGCTGCCCCGCGACGACGCCGGTCGCACGCCTTCTCGCGGGGCGGGTGTCCGCCTTGCCTGCCCGACGACGACGACACTGCACCCGACGCACTCGACTTGGAGGGCTTCTCCAGAGGCGGGATGAGCGGCTTCGAGGGCGGCGAGTCGGCGCCGATCTGGCTGCACGTCTGCGCCAGCAGCGCCAACGGACTCTTCTTCGCGTCCAGCTGCAACACGAGGACACGCGTCACAACACAAAGGCGACACAGGAAATAAACTGGGAGCTAACAGTCGTCTGAGTGAGGACTGTACAGGATATTTAAAAATTAAATCTTACATTTTCTGAAATTGCGCTTTATGACAATTTCATAATTTATCAAATTAAGGTATCTTACACCAATTAAATAAAATAGGGTTAGATAACTCTTCGATAACGATAGGTTATTAAATTATATTTTTCTACGAACTATATATTGAAATGATGCGTTCTATGATGCGCGACCACAAAGTACGTTGTTCCAAGGCGTCAACAAAAACACACAATTCCATGGGAAAACTTTATTATAGCAGTTATTGCATATATTGCACTATTTGTCCACATAACTACATGTCAATCTCTAAGAAATTTTAATCGGCCTAAAGTACTTCAAAGACGGAATTTCAGACCAAAGGACGACGTGAACTTGACTGCGATCAGAGAAAGTTTCCGCAGATCACTTCCACACCACTTCCAAGCTTTGGCAAGATTCTTAGGTTAGAAACGCCCCAACCTGGGACATGATTTCTTCCCGTTAGCAACAAGTCATTCAATTTGCATAGCATTTTCAAACAAATATTTATAATAAATATGTAACTGACAAAACAAACTATAAAATACTTTTCAAAATTTACATTATTATGTCTGAAGGTCTGAGCACTCAAGATCGTCTCAAGGGGTCTGATCTTTCCACGATCGCTGTAGAAGGATACAGGAAAAAGGGGGAGGACCTACGCCGTCCCCTACAGCTTTTGCTTTGGTCGGCTCTTCACAATTCTGCTTGTCGTAATCACAATTTTTGAAAAAGCTAAAATATGATATAGGAGGCTGTTTACACTGCCTTCATCAAGAAGATTATCTCTTCCCAAGAGGCGAAACCGATGATCTGATATTTCTTACGTCTTTCCCCGTATTTCGGACGCAAAGTGGCGGTAAAAGCAAAATTTGTAGGTGTAGGTCGTGTTTGTCACGAGCCACGTGGTCACAACACGTCGCTTCGTTTGAAAATCCAGACCAGCTGCTGGCCGCCATGTTGCATGAAGAGCGAGAAGTGTTGAGAAATATTTTGAAAGATACAAAGTGGAAATTACCAACGGTGACCAATTAAAAATAACGCGATAAAGGTGTAATTGAAATAAAAAATGCAAAATTGAAAAAAAAGCGCTTCCTACATCTGTCTCAATAGCTTTTAACATTATAATTTTGGCATTTAAAATTACCGCTAATATTGTGACGCAAACTGGTGCCTGAAGCTCATTGGCTGAAGCGCAATAGCCCACCCATCTTCTTCCATCATGCAAAAACTCCCTATTGTTAACATCGATGTTTAAATTTCAAACAGGAAAGGCGACCACTGAGCCTCGTTGCTTCGTGTGGCTTCGGGGCATGACCAAATACTGTACAGAAAATACAGGACACTTTGGACCTTTCTCATACTATTAATGGAACTGCTCAATGGCGAACCTAGGGATATGACCTGAACATTCTGTGACAAATTCAAATTTAAATTAATACAAGAAATCTTTTAAATTTCTGTGGTTTATAACAAACCCATTACTTAGATTATTATAACTATCATTATTTATTTCTTTTGTGTCCGTATTTTATATTTATATACAATACCATAAGCAACACAAAACAGTGATTTGATAATTTAATAGCTGATTATTATAACTATCATTATTTATTTCTTTTGTGTCTGTATTTTATATTTATATACAATACTATAAGCAACACAAAACAGTGATTTGATAATTTAATAGCTGCATTTAATTCGAAAATTTAGAGTAATTACATAACAAAGCACTTGCATCATGTAGTCTGCAAGAACACGTAGACTTCGGGACTTACAACTTATCACGAGGAATCGTAAAAGCGATTCTTCTAAAATTCATAATTTCTGAGATGAAATACGGGTCACGTCCTACCAGACAAATAAAAAAAACTATCAATTGCAAATGTTTTAATCACTTTATGACACTTAATTAAATTAAAATCATGAATAAAATTTAAAAAAACTTTTAACTTTATACACTTCGCACTTCATATCACGATGGTTATATCAGTTCTGGTCACTAGGGGCGCTAGCTTTAACTGTCTCCTGTTTTATCGCAGTGTCATGTATTAGAGAGTTTTTGCACGCCTTAGTGGGCAGCAAACGACTGCCATCTCGATCTTCTACGCCTCCACAGACGCACAAAGGTGACGCGAAACTCAAACTGCGCATGCGCAGAAGATCGATAATGCTGCCGATTACTTTAATATTCGAGGGTGCAAAAACTCCCTAATAGATAGATTGTGTCACCTCGTAGGTCAAAGCACTATCAATCATGTGCGCATGCGCAGTTAAGTTTCGCACCACTTTAGTGCATCTGCGCATGCGCAGAAGATCGATAGTGTTGCCGATTGCTTTGGCATTCGAGGGTGCAAAAACTCCCTAATAGATAGATTGTGTCACCTCGTACGTCAAAGCACTATCGATCTTCTGCGCATGCGCAGTTCAAGTTTCGCACTATTTTAGCACATCTGCGCATGCGCTATCGTAGTGCTGACGCAATGGCACGCACCAACTCCCCATTGTCTCTACAGTATTTGGCATGACGGATCGGCGGCGGTGGCGGCGGCGACGGCGACAATGGCGGCGGCGTGGCGACGTCGTCGTGGTTGGCCTCTGCCGGGGTCAGGCGCTCGGGGTCACCTCGCCCTCGCGTAATTTTTTCCCGCATCAGCAGGACAAAGGGCAAGCCGCGCGCCCATCCGCCCTTCCGCCCTTCCTCAGCTCCGCGCCGGCTCTTCTCTTTCTTTGAAGAGCGCTTCGCAGCCCTTCGGACGCAACGCCCGACTCCTCGCAAAAATCCGGAGAGGGTCCGGTGAAAAAAAAAAAAAAAAAAAACCAACAAACGAGAAGGCAAAAAATTCCCCGACGTCGGCGGCGGCAGCGGCGGCCGCCGGGCCGTGGTGGCGGTGGCGGTGGCGGCTGAGGCTTTGCCGTGGACATTTTTCATTAATTTACTTCTCTTCTGGTTGTGTCATCCGTTGACAGCGCTACCACTACTTTTCCTCCTCGGCGAGGAAAAATGCCCGACGTCTGCGTCATTTCCTTGCGAGCAGGGAGCGCCGGGCGAAGGGCCGCTGCGCTGCACCTGCGGCTCGCACGCGGCGCCGGCGGCGGCGGCGGCGGAGTCTGCACGCGGCGGCTAGTTAACTTTTCGGCCGAAATTGGCTTTTTTCAGTCGTCAACCTCAGGAGTTGTCTGCGCGCAGACGGAACGCACGCCGCCAGCCGCCCCTAGCGCCCCCAGCGGGAGGTCGCGCAAGATGTCGGTCCGCCCCGCCCCCGCCCCCTTGGGCCCACCCACCCCGGAGGCGCTGTCGGTTGGGCGAGTGGCTCCGCCTGCCTCCGCGGCCGCGCGCCTACACGCCGTGCAAAACTCCCCGGCCACCCTGTTCCGCGGAGGGGAAGTCGTGAGATTGAACAATGTTATTCTCAACACCAAGACCCACCTGAAAACTGCTTCGGGAGGAAAAAACGCTTCTCCGCGACTGGAACAACCGGAAGGAGCGAAGGCAAGATCGGCGAGGTTTAATTTGCGAGTCATAGCACATGCTTCCACAATGGGTTGAGTCAGTCTAAGTTAGTTTCTGCAAGTAAGAACTGCGGCCCATGTATTGACTTTGGGCAATAAATGAACATCTCACCTGGACCACTACAGGGAAAAAAGACGACGTTCGACTGGGATGGGGGAATGAATACGACTGCATGCGGGTCACACATCGGGACAGTCAGGGATTAACAGTTTTTTTTTGTTTTTTATAACGTCTAAAAAACAAACGTTAAATATGTATTAAGGATTAATGAACACTTGAATACTTAATTTCTGTCACCAAAATAATTAAAGTTTTGACGAAAGTTGGCTTCAAAAATACGAATCTCCAAAGTACGGTTAGGCAGAAAGTAAAACAAAGGAATTTCACCTCGAATATATATGGGCGAGAAAATATAGCTTTGAAGAACGTAAGAGGACGGAAGTGAATACCGGACAAAACATTCTAATAGCCTCATCTTGGAAGAAATAGAAGAGACGAAATATTAAAA